AAAAAAGAATTGGACTCCAGTTGCTTGCCTTGCCATGTTATGAGCTAATAGGTTTGAACTCAAAAAGCGATTTGGGACTGAACTGTTTAGGTCAGTCTTTAATACAAAACCTGATAAAACCCCACTTGCTATTACAACATGGTTGAGGTTTTCTTGCTTCATGTTCAGCTGGGACCCATTTGTATTACATTATTCATGCCAGAGTTGTATGAAATCCAACCCTGTCCAAATGATAGACTCTGACCTGAGAGGAGTGGATGAAGAGGAAATAAAACAAAGGCAGGAGGCAGGGAATCGGCTCTAATGGGAGGATGAGTGCGATGAATAAGAAAGAGGCTTTAAAGCACATATGGGAGGACAGTCGTCCTCAAGCAATAGCTGAGTAATAAACTGAAGGGTTTACTTAGCAAGTCCAACACACATTGTGACCTAAACAACTGTAGAATAGTAGCATTGGAATCAACGGTGTCAAATGATGTAAAAAAAATATATTATTTTTATTTTCACCCTGTAGAAACTGCTCCCACCACATCTCTCTATATTACTCATAAAATAAGTGCTGTATGTATGTTCACTGTTGCTCCAAATCTCTGTGAATCCCACTCAGACTCCCGCGGCTGCTTAGCAACCTGCTCGCAACAAAATATATTCAGAATTAAGCGGACAAAGCGTGACCACTGCCTCCTCGAAACCACCAGTGAAGGGTGCTTTCCCGTCGTCACGGCTCTCTCTTTCTCTCTCTCTCTCTCACTCCATACCACAGGCCTGTGATTTATAAGCACAACTGATAAGCACAACAACTGATACAACAAACAAAACAGACTGAGCCTCACATCTATGTGCACCCGCCCCTCCTCAAGAAATTTTAATTCCTTTTTCAAGTGTTCCAACTGCCTTGATATAAACAGGCAACAACAATCTTTGAACTTGTGAGTTTTCTAATTTTTTGACTGAACAAAATCCTCTGATCATTTGAGATGGTGTTCAATAACCTCCTGGTCTTGATGGTCTTCACATCACGGACCCAGCAGATTTCCACTGGTCAGTATATCATCCAGGACTGAAGTGGTTTTTCAAAACTTTTACAGAAACGGCAGACTGTGTGGGCTTTCATTTTGGATGCTTCTCATAGATTTTTTTTAATTCTCAGTCTCCTGCCCTCCAGGCCAAAGAGAGCTATTTTTCCCCCCACATAATCATCATCATCCTCATCTTCGTCATCACATTGTCAACCTTCCCTGGGTTATCTTTAGCACACACTATTTCAGCATTGTAAGATAGTTTTATTCTGTAACCTCACCGTCCATTTCTGTTCTGGTCATTAGTGACTGTTTGTTTTGACTCTCAAAGCATCAACAGTTACTTCAGGGTTTCTGGATTCTGGATCTCTGGACTTTTTAGTCCAGTTCTTGACACTGGGGTTTCAGTAGCCTTGTATCTAACCATATCACCACATGTACGGCATGTTATTCTAAAACATTTTCCCATGTGAAAGATCAGAATGTGACTAGACATAATCGGTTTGTTTTTTGGATGGATAATTTGGTTAGTCCTTACAAGGCTAATGACTTTGACCTTGGCATTGAGTTCGGTGGGGGGGCTTCTTTAAAGTCCTGTTTGCATGTCTGAAAAGACCTGCCTTAGCCACAATTACATAAATAATTTAAGATTTGTGAATGTTTGAAATGATAAAAATAAAATTACATTAATGATCAAAATGATGGAAATTGTGTTTTTAGTGTAAAACCCCTGCAAACCCCATGCTTTATTTTAAAATGCGCTGCCTTTATATCATAACGGTGTGGTGGCCCCAGATCTGTCCATGGTGCTGAAGAAGGAATCCAGTCAGTCGAGTCGATATTTAAAGGATCGGGTTCCATATACGCTTTCAGTGTTACGTGAACGAAGTGATTCTGGTGTTATCACCTTTTCACTGACTCCAAGTGTCACCTGTGTTTGACTTTATTTAATTCCCACGTCCAGGGTTTGTTTCACATAAACAAAGTTAAAGATTTTAAACCGTTCTACCTGCCTGTGCTAAGCTTCTCTGACTGCCGATGAGCCTCTGAGCAAGAGCCCGTATGGGAATCTAACCCCTCAACCACCACCCCCCCCGCACCCCCCGGGGATCTGCGCGTCAGCTGCACTATAAAAGCGTTGACCTGTAAATGCAAACCCACCCTCTACAGCCCCAAGAAGAAGGGATTAAAATCCGCAGCGCTCGGCAGTTCAAACTGCTTCAGACCGAAGCTGGTGGCGGAACCAGACTTTGGTGAAGAAAAGCACATCAGTCCATTTTGGTCACTCGTTCAAATGCCATTTTCCTTTAAGATGATGTAAGACATCAGCTTCTCTCCTCTGTTTGTTTCTCACAGACGGATCAGCTTCATCCAAAGCTTTCTGGTGAAACCACGCGTTTCCGCTCTCAGTACTTTGGAGAGGTGTTGCGCACAGGAGTCCCGCTTCCATCCTCCGATGTTCCAGCATCTCAGTCGTCAGGAGCGCAGCTCAGCAGCAGCAGCTCAGCAGCAGCAGCTCAGCAGCAGCAGCAGCAGCAGCAGCACCGAGCTTTGCGTGCGCGGTTTCCACTTTATCCTAATGATGGGAATAAACTAAAAAAAAAACACCCGCGCAGGAAGAGGACGAATCTTTCCACCAAGAACTTGATCTGGACATGTTTGGACTTCTTTTAACGGAGGGAAATCTCAGATTGAAGTAAGGATTACATCTAGAGTATCTGAAATCCCAACCATGGCCCATCGCTGTGGATGCGTGTAACATGATGCTGACGATAACCGAGATAAATCGCCATGGGCAGGGATATTTACGCGCAAGATTAGAGACTCCACTGTAGACTCCACTTTGAGGATGTTTGTCATGAGACACCCGCTGTGAGGACTGCAGCCTAAACCAGGACTCTGCTTTGGATCTGAGAGCATCAATATCATGCAGCAGCTGCAACCCACACCCTGAACTCCCGGGACTGGACTCCTGCGCTCTGTGATCAAAAACTCACTATCTCTTTGAAGCAAAATGGCACTAAATGAAAACTGCAAAACGCAACCTGCAAAAGAGCAGAGCTCGGTGCAGAGCCCACCATCTGATGTTGTTGAGCTGAATGTCGGCGGACAGGTGTATTATACTCGCTATGCCACCTTGGCGAGCTTCCCTAATTCCTTACTCGGGAAAATGTTCTCTAACAAGAAGGGCTCGTCCAACGACTTGTCCCGGGATCTGAGAGGACGATATTTTATTGACAGAGACGGCTTTCTGTTCCGGTACGTATTGGATTACCTCAGAGACAAGCAGGTTGTTCTGCCCGACCACTTTCCTGAGAGGGGGAGGTTGAAACGAGAGGCGGAATACTTCCAGCTGCCAGATTTGGTCAAACTTTTGACCTCAGACGAGTCCAAACAACTGTCGGACGAGCTGTGCTTCAGTGATCACGATGACGTCTCGCAAGGCAGCGACCAGAGGTTCTACCCGTCCTACTCCTTGGACATGAGGTATGGCTACATCACCGTGGCACTGAAGGGCGCCTGTGCGTCTGCAGGCAGAGAGAGTGTGGCTGACGGCAAGCTCAGAAAGTTACCGCGGATCTTCGTCAGCAGCAGGATCGGCTTGGCCAAGGAAGTGTTCGGAGACGCCCTGTACGAGAGCAGGGACACGGACAGACCACCTGACCGGTACACCTGCAGGTTCTATCTCAAGTTCCGGCACCTGGAGAGGGCGTTTGACATGCTGTCAGAGAGCGGCTTCCACATCGTGGCCTGCAATTCCTCCCTGACCGCGTCCCCTTTGGGTCACTACCCGGAGGACAAAGTGTGGTCCAATTACGCACAGTACATCTTCTACCGTGAGTGAACGTTAACTCTCATCTGTTGTGATTTACCCGGGGCTTAAAACCATCAAAAAATAATGAAAGCAACCGGTACATTAAACACAACACCTGGATTACAGTCATAAATTATATAGTTGTAAATCCTTTCCCCAAGGGACACATCCAGACTTTACACATTTACCAAAATGCCAAGTTTAGGTTAATTTATTATGTGTTTGTTATAATGACTGTTTAGCGAAAAAGACACAAACGGTTTGGGTTTCATCCTCTTCAGTGTCTAACTTTATTTTTATTTTGTCTTGGTTTAAGATGAGGCTTGAAGCGAGATGATTGAATGAACTGCACATGCGTGAACAGCATTATGTTAGTCAGAGTGTCACTATAACCAGATGAACTGCTGCTGCTGCATTGTCAGACTTTTATTTCCTAAAGACAAAGTTTGTACCAAACACTGAATTGCAGACGTAGTTTATTCCAGTCTGTGTAGAGAGAGTTCAACTTTATGGCCAATTAGAACTCACTCCATTGACTACTATTAATGGCTTCCTTCATTGTAGATCAGCAAAAAGACCAATTCAAGGGCAGAGTTCACACTTTTTTTTTCCTTCAGGGATCTCCTATTGTAAGTCAGGCTGTAGCTTCAGCTTCAGACTTACTACAAATCACTGCAGGTTTCCTTACTGTTGGATGAAAAATTTTTTTTTTGCTCATTCCTGATTCCTCTGAGTTGCTGCTCCACATCAGGAACCCAAGACTGAGAATCAAGAATAAAGAATCTTTATTTGTCACTTGACATTGCAGGCAATGACAGTGAAATGAAGGTGTGATAGTTCTGGATTGTGCAAAAAGACAAGTACGAATACAGTAAATGAAATAGAAAATATAAAACAAAATAAAACTGGCATCAATAAAGGGAGTTCTTTTTCTGCTGTTGTGGTGCATAGTGGCTCCAGGGGAGCACCCTCAATTTCGTTGGACCCCTATGTAACAATGACAATAAAGACTATTCTATTCTCAAGTTTAACGACAGCTAAAAATTGCAGTATACAACAAATGAAGACTGAATTTACAGAGGACAATAAGTGTCAGGTCTGTCTGTCGCTCTGTCTCTTCTGGGTGAATTAGTGTCGTCACATTCACCCGTGTCCTGTGATTCTCTGGTAATCACTCTCACCTGGTGCCCCAGGTGTTTATACTCTGCTCCCTCGCTCTGTCTCTGTTGGGTCATTGTGTGATTCTGGGTCATGGTGTTCTTGTTGTTCATGTTTGATCCATGTTCCTGTACTCCAGGTCCAGGTTTGTTCCTGCCTAGCTGTTTGGGAAAGCGACAGCAACTTTTTTTTTTTTTTTGCATATTGATGGTGTACAGCACTAAATTACATGATTAGATTTGTGACGCAGCAGCAGCATACGTGGCTGATGCCCTGCAACATTACAACAGTGTTTATGGCATACAAAATGGGATCAAATTAGCGATTATTCGGGGGTTTTACGCCCCTCCATATGGTACGCCCAAAGCTCATTAACACACACAGTTTTAAGACAATTTATAAATCAGTTAGGAAGAGTCGAGATGTTTGTACGAAAGAGAGAAGAGACACCGAGTTACAGTAAAAGAGGCAGAGTGAGACGAGTATACACACACACACACACACACGCAGGCAAGTAATGGAGAATTTTATGGACTCGCAGTGGCAGGAAGTGAGGAGGAGACGGGAGAGCAGATGGAGGGAGAGTGGATGAGCGAGCGAGCAGCTAAAAGTTGCATTGAGGCTTGACCACAGGGAGAAAGAGCTGAGGCAGACAGAGGAGAGGCTAAAACTGATTAAAGCAAATATCAGACAGGAAAGTCTGAGGGAGAGGGCGGACGGGCGGGGGGGCTGTGGAAAATAGTTCTTATTAAAAAAAGGGGAGCAGAGGAGGTGAGTCTGAAAAGGAAACATGCAGAGATGTATGGATGTATAAAGAGATGGACACCTCAAAGGCAGAAAGACGTGATAGTCTTTGCTCATCAGAAACACGACAGCCCGCCTCTGTCTGCAAACACACATACAGTAACCTGATTCTGAAAATGGGACGCTGGCTGGCCCAGGGCTGGCCGTCCTAAACTGAGAACATGTGTAAGTGCACCTTCAAGAAGAAAAGGAAGTGAAGCAGATGTGCAGGGTTCTTGTTTGTTGTTTTCTGCTCACACCCCCTCGTGTCATGCCACATATCGACTGGAAAAGGCTTTGCTGAGGCTGTAAAAACAAAGCTTTCAGCCAAGTTACGTTCAGCCAAAACAATGGAAATAGTTTCTCATTGATTGATCGCATCGGTTTTGAGCCTCATCTGTGATTGGTCTTTTTTTTTTCTCCATAATTTCCGCACATGATTCTGTATAGTATTAACACCGGTGGCCTCGTAAATGGTGGCCTAAATGTTTATTTCCTTGACTTTTCTCTACGTTTGTTTTGTTTTGGTCAATTGATTTGACGATAATGAGGCCTGGCTATAATAAATGGACTAATTCAAAACAGTGTCTCTGTGGACCTTTGAGGATTTTTATGAACGTGTCCCTGGTTTACACCGTCCTTTTAGGGTAAGAAGGACTGTGATTGTAAAGTTAATGCTCTTCCATTTCCTGCGTTATTAGCATCAGCCTCTGCCTGGCTGGATGTTTGCTCTCGGCTTGCCCACAGACTAAAACAAATGATGCCTTCAGCTAGAGGGCAGTCTCCTCAGGAGGCCACCATGTCCCAGCATTCATCACGAGGAAGAGTTGCTCGCACCTTGATGACCACGATAACTGATTCACTTTAAACCTGCTACGACCTGTTCACCCCTTTAAGTTAACAAATGAGCTTCAGCGAAATCCCTCCAAAAGTCATTACCAGCGCACGTGACGGTGAACAACCGAGACAGTGTGGAGATGTGGGCCACATCTGGAGCTGATGCTGCTCTGCTGGCTGACAAATTGGATAGGAGCCTCAAGTGGCCATTAATTAAAACAGCGATTGTGGCCAAATTATCTTTCAACTGCCAAATACGAGGTGGAAGTGTAAACATGGATTTGAACCTACGCTGCCTGTGATTGGTCCATTCCATGTCTCTGTGGCCTGCATCTGGTCCACATTTGGTCAACAGGACCTCAGCTCATCTTTTTTTTGTGGTCATTTTTCCTGATAAATGGAGACTCAAGGGCATTAGCAAATACAGATTCTGTCCAGGAAGAGAGAACATAATGGTCCTCGTTTTCATCTGAATAATTTCACAGAAACCAGTTATCCTGCAGCATAAAGTCTCATCATCAACTCCTTTAAAATACAGAGCTTGTACGTCGCAGTGGCAGAACAAATTACTATGGAACTGTGGAACTTGTATCATCAAAGACAGTTTCATAGATCACATTCTGGGGAAAAAGATGAGCAAGAAGTGTCCTGTGAAAAAGACAGAGAGAGAGAGAGAGAGACGCACAGTGGAGATGGAAAATGATTATATTAGCCAGGTGTGCTCTGTTCATATAACTCTGCACTCTTCATTTGTACTGTGCATGAGCTGATGTGCAGCCCTAATGGCTCCTGAACAATGGCCACAAGACAGCAGGGGGAGACGGAGGGGAAAGTAATCAATTGCTTGGGTGTAATGGAGGACGAGATTGGTCCGTCTCCGGGCTCCTGGAGAGCCTGGTTGGAGTCTGGATGGATTGGCAGAGTCGACAGGAGATGAATGGTGCGCCATGAATAACTCGTATATGTCCTAAAGTGAGCCTGGACAGAAAAACGGTCAGAGCTGGAACCCTGAAGTGTGTGTCCTTGTGCTCCAGTCGTAGAACTCACTGCACTTCATCAGCTCAGACCCACGTTGGGAGTAAATGTGGGTGTATTGAAAAGATATTTTCTAAATCAGTTTTTCTTTTGAAGCAGCATGCTCAGAATCTTCCAAGAACTGGGTTGGTGTATTTTTATATTTTAGGTCATTTTCTTTTAACAGTTTGCAGCTGTCATAAAAGTCAGACTTTTTTTTACATTTTTTATTCCACTCTGCAGCTTTCAAATGCGTCTGCAGACACAGTTTGCAGCAGTCTGTCACACTGATGCTTTCCCAAACTTGGGTTCAGTTTCACACATGAAATAAGCCACTACACTGTATTGTTCCCACACATTGTTGGTAAAAAAAAATATTGATTTACGTTCCAGCGGCAACATACTGTACAGCTGCTGACTCATGGGTGTGTGGAGTGTCCTTGAACACACCAACAAAGAAAGTTTACACAACACAGCCGGTCTCATTAGCAGCAGATGATGAGGCAATTTTGACAACGCAAACGTGCAGACAGTGATGGATTGCACGTCTCAGGCTCATCTGAAACCTGCACGTTAAAATGAAAAAAAAAAAAAAGAAAGAAATCCACAGCATTCATCCATAAATCTGTTCATGGCACATTTCAGACTTTCAGTGTGTTTTCTTGAAAGATAACTTTTAAAAGTGGTACTTCTTGCACCCCCTGATTCTTACGCTATTTTTGCACAGTGCATCAGTGTGGAGCAGGCACAACAGCTCCGACCGTCTGACATCTAACACCTTTATCCCCCGGAGACACTTAATGGCTGCTTGGATGGCGATGCTCCTCACGTTGTGGGCAGAGCTAAGTGTTTTCTAAAGACAAACACAATCTTCCAATGGGAGGCTACAAATGCAATGGATAATTTTTGGTGACTCTGCTCGGTGCGGTGGGTTCTAGATGTGATTCTGTAGAAGTTCCCTCAGGCTTGAACGATTCCCCTGAGGGACTTGAACCAATACAAGATTCATGTAATAATAATAAATAAGAACCACACTTAAAACAAAGGGAAAGATTCATGTAATAATAATAAATAAGATCTAACCACACTTAAAATAAAGGGAAGGTATGAACAGAAGGTGACAGTTCTGTCTGAAAAATCAGTGTAAAAGGCATCAACATCAATCAATCAATCAATCAATCAGTCTGTGAAAAAGAAGAGATCCTGCTATCGTACCATGGGGTACACCTT